ACATGAATAGGAGGCCCTCTTCAGAACCGGGTCGAAGTTCCCAACCCAAATGCTCAACACTATCGACACCAAATGCCATTTCAGGAGTTTCTATTTCCGACTCGAGTTCCTCTGAATCTGAGCCTGAAGCTTGATGACTTCCAGAAAGTAATCCAGGAAAATTCAATTTTGTTTGCAGATTATATCTTTTTTCACTCATTTCTTTCGGTAGTGGCTCCAGAGGGTGATATGGTTTTCATTTGGATTGTACACAGCGTAAGAATTGAGGATGGTATTTAAAATTGGGAATGGTATTTGTCAACTGGTCTTTTGTCTGAAAAGAAAGTATAAGGAAATATGAATTAGGGTTTTGCAATGAAAGTAGTTGGTATTGCATTTTTCTTTTGGCATATTTTCTCCTTTTTTTCTTCTAGAGGTTGAAATGGAAAAGAAAATTGTTGAGAGGGTTCAGTCTAAAAGGAAATGGAAAGTTGCATTTGTTTTGTTCTTTATTATTCCTCTGTTTTTTTTTGGCTGTTCTTGTTTTGTTCTATTTTTCATGCTCATGTATGGATACACCCAACTCTTGGTTCAATCACATATTCTGGGATTTTTATTTTATATTAAAATAATATTTAAATACAATAATTAAAATTGATATGATGTAAAAATAGGATAGATGAATAGTAATTAAAAAGTTAATTTGATGTAAAAGATGATTTTGAAGTGATAATTAAAATTATGTGAGTAGATGAATAATAAATCAAAGTTGATGTGATGTGTAAAAATGATTGGTTGGAATTAGTTAAAATTAAGTTAGATTTTAAGCATGAATTGAGTATGGGTTGAGTTTTTTTTATACACACACCCTAACAACTAGGTAGGTTAATTCATTTCTTTTAAAACAAAACTTTGCATTTATATTATGAAATATTACAAGTTTGATTATATTATTTTTTTAAGTATGACATTTAATTTAAAATAAAACATATCTGTTCAGAAAAGACGATTAATTTTTGCCTAATAGTAGAACCATGGATTAATTGAGGTATAATTGCATTGTGCCAAAAAATTCTATGTATTCTTTTGTAACAAATATTGTAAAACAGTCATCTTCTCCAGTGTAGCCTCAGAACAAAATCTCCGTACATCAATCATGTAAACTTGCTGCCTTTTAACATTCTATGTCATTTGTGATGTCGTGATTTGTGTTAATGGTTATTTCAAATCTTACAATCTGAACATTCTATGGCTTTTCTTGTTGGAAGCAGTCATATATTTGTTAATTAATCCAGCTATACATATTTTCATTTCTGATTATACTCTTCCAAATTTCAAATGTTACAAGTTACCATTCAAAATTGAAAGATAAATGCACACATACTTGAATTTTTTTCTTTCAACTTGTCACATGACGGAGAGAGTACAGGGAGAGGGCAAGTGAGCAACCCAAGTTCAGGCGAA